TTTGTTAAAATGTTTTCATTTTTAATGAAAACTTTCTTATAGAAATTTCTAATTTTTTTATTTATCGTAAAGATATACCTATTCCGTACAACGGATCCTGTACTCAAGAGTGGTTTTATGCCCTGTATTAACAAGCCTATTATTACGTTCTTATTACTATACATACAAACAGACACCCCGTAAAAAATGAAACATAGATGAATATATTCAAATAAACAATTGTAAGGTGTATGAACAATAAAACATTAAATATTAATAAAAGCAAAAAAATTTTTTTTTATATAGATTTGCCTGCAATTTTATTTATTACTAGTTGTATAGGGACTCCCCCCTACCACATAGCTCAGTGTAGGCTAGAATCACGAGTCTAGCAGAGGAGAGAGAGAGAGTGGGTAACACACTTGTAGTCAGTTTAACTGCGCCTACCGCCTTGAACAGTTGGACCACAGTTCAATAAACGAGAGTACAGTACACGCAATAACGTATATTTCTTTTGCCCAGGTTATCTCTCCCTTCCTCTCGAGCACGCTTGCCCTACAGTTGATACATAGACAAATTAACCATAGAAATTTTAATTCTTTTAGGATATATGTACTACATGAATTTTTATTTTTCAGATTTGTTCATCGATTTGCTTCCAATTGCAGTTCATCGTGCCACCTTACATTTTGAGTCACAGAAAAGTGAACTTGTTAATTCTGAAATTGCTAAACTACGGAACCTGAGACAAATTTTAAATGGGTAAAATGTTTACTATTTCTATTTTAGTTTACACTATAAATATTTTAACATACACGACAGTTTAACTTTGTTTTCATTCGAACAAAAATAATTACATTGAAATATTGATGTATTATCAAACAATGATTATTTTTTCTTATGTTAATCAAANTTTTATTTATAACTTAACTAAATAAATCAATGTACATTAAATAAAATTTCTGTGAAAAATGAGTTACAAAGTGTAACATAAGATAAAGTAATTGATATACTTATGTTGGGCCTTCTCGTGGTAGAGTAGGGAAGGGCCGTGGCCAGAAAGTAAGAGGTCGGGGGTTTGAATCTCTGTGGAAACTGTTAGTACGTCAAAAACCGAAAGTATGTCACGAGAGGCGGGGCGAAGGGGAAGAATCAAGCAAAATCCACTTCCATTACACTTTTTCTCAAGGTCAAAATTTGAAATCGTTGATTTACCCCCGCACATAACGCGCCTATAGAAGTATAACTGAAAAAAAAAAGAAAAAAACAGAGAAACTTTTTTTATTTTTCTAACCATTTTTTAATACTGGAAATAAGGGGGTTGGAGCGTGAAGTGCGCAGGTGAGTCGAGCCCCACTAGTATATGTATAATTATATGAATGATATAATTATATAAATAAAATAATGCACATTCTGATTTTTTAGGAAGCGACTTTTGCTTAGCACATTTTTTAAGGGGTTTTGCCAACTTTTTTTATTGAAATATCTTCCTTATCTTTCTTTTCCACACCACCCATTAGGCAAAAAGACAGGCACGCTGATTTTTTTTTTGTTGTAATTATTTATAAATCAATATATACATTTTTTCATTTAATACATATAAGTATATGATACGATATACATATATGTTTAATGATTTAAAATCCATACAATAATGTAATAATAACGACTGTGGAAGTCATCGCTAATCGGTTTTATGCTCTACCTTTAAAATAGCCGTTTGAAGAAGAAAACCATAATTTATACTAATATTTTTACTATACATGTATGAACATATGTAGCTAACATCAATATTAGTACATATTTGTCTATTGTTATTGTTATTTTTAGTATATGGTATTATTTCTCTTAATGTTTTTAGTAAAATTTTTTATGAAGTTTTCGTTGAAAATTTGTAAAACCAGTGGACAGNTAAGAGCGAAATAATTGCATTTAAATGTATTGTAAAAAAGTTTGTACTTACAACTACTCTCTCCTCTCAGTTAACATGGTAAATGTATAAAAATTTAAGTTGAATGGTTTGTACAGTATAAGTTTTAAATTACGTTAAAACTTGAAGGGGGCTGTATAGGGACTCCCCCCTACCACATAGCTCAGTGCAGGCTAGAATCACGAGTCTAGCAGAGGAGAGAGAGAGAGTGGGTTACACACTTGTAGTCAGTCTAACTGCGCCTACCGACTTGAACAGTCGGACCACAGTTCAATAAACAAGAGTACAGTACACGCAATAACGTCTCTTTCTTTTGCCCAGGTTATCTCTCCCTTCCTCTCGAGCACGCTTGCCCTACATTTGGTGACCCCGACGCTTACCACCGACGGTCAACAACGTTACGAACACCAGGGCAACATCAGAAAAAAGGTGGACCTGGGAGTTCGCATCTCTTCGTCGGCGAGAGGTCAAGGACAAACGGGATTTCTGGCTACCGGCAACTGAAACGCTTCCGACTCTGCTCAGCGGGACGACCGCCACCGGCTAATCGCCAAATCGACGATCATCGCTGTCGGCAAGTGCACAGTCGGCGCGAGGGTCACCGTGGCATCGTGAGGCGCGTCGTCAGGGCTGCGTGAGTACAAGAGTTCAGTTCGTAGAACTGAAAGCGTCGCAAGCGTTCAAAATCAAACTTCGTTTTGTTGCCTTTAGACGTTAATTGTACAAGTAAGTCGTGTATTACTGTCCCAAAACAATCTTTACAACAAAATTAGAAAGCTATCGAATAATACAACAAATCGTTAAATCTCGCTTTCTAAAAACTATGTATATCGCTGGATCGCAAATCGATTACCAAAACATCAAATAATTCAATTTTAGCAAGCAACAAAAGTAAGAAAACCGAAAACAAGTGTGGTGTATGATTATATCGGAATGTTTTGAAAGTCGACCTTCGCTGCGTTACTCACTCGTTTCGTTGGAGCGAAGCGTTTGTTTTGTTCAGGCGTCTTGTGCTGTTATTTCGTTCGCTCAAACCTGTGGATTATTGTCGCGTTAATCGGAAAATTGGCTTTGTATTAAATACCAGTAGAGAATCGACCTTGTTGCGGAGCTCTTTCACGGGCGAACAATAGTGTCGTGTATTTTTCTTCGGGGAGAATCGCGATGGCGGACGATCGTATTACCCAGCTAGAAGCGCAAATTCAGAAAATTACGGCACAGATACGAGATATTGCAAATAAAAATTCCAATCCCGACCAAAACCCCCAAAACATTACTGCTATGTATAAACAACCAAAAACAAAAAAATACACATAACAACAAACAACCAAAAAACAGAAAAACAAAAATACAAAAAGAAAGAAAACACAAAGCCACAACAAAACAAAACAAAACAAAAAACGACAAAAAATCGGTTGCGCCAGTTGCCGATTGTATTGTTAAAACCTGCGCACTTTGCACTCAAAAATTCGCAGTGGCAACCGTTGCCGGACGAAATTAAGGTACCGAACCTACCCCCAACTATACGCCATGTACTCAAAACTTATTCGGGAAAAAAACCTGCAATTAGTCAAAATAAAAAAGTGACTTTTAGCGAGGTGAGTGCAGATGGCTAGCGAACTTATGTAAATAGTTGTACATATGCGTGCGTAATGATTGTATTGTGATTAGGTTTAAAAGCGAAAAATCAACATCCATATGTAAATATCGTCTCTGTCAGGCGTCATCCGAATTAACAGTGTTCAGCAATCTTGATTAACCCGTATAAGCGTTTAAGCGCTTCAAAAAAGAATTTATTGATTTTTTTACTGGATTACCGGATGGTCGCCTCGGCAGGGACGATTTGCTAGTTAAATGTAAGCGGCCGAGCGAGCTGAAAGTTTTTGATTGTCGTATTGGTACTCAATCTCATAAATTAATGTTTAAGTTGTTAAGAGCGAAATAATTGCATTTAAATGTATTGTAAAAAAGTTTGTACTTACAACTACTCTCTCCTCTCAGTTAACATGGTAAATGTATAAAAATTTAAGTTGAATGGTTGGTACAGTATAAGTTTTAAATTACGTTAAAACTTGAAGGGGGCTGTATAGGGACTCCCCCCTACCACATAGCTCAGTGTAGGCTAGAATCACGAGTCTAGCAGAGGAGAGAGAGAGAGTGGGTTACACACTTGTAGTCAGTCTAACTGCGCCTACCGACTTGAACAGTCGGACCACAGTTCAATAAACGAGAGTACAGTACACGCAATAACGTCTATTTCTTTTGCCTAGGTTATCTCTCCCTTCCTCTCGAGCACGCTTGCCCTACATTTGGTAACCCCGACGCTTACCACCGACGGTCAACAACGTTACGAACACCAGGGCAACATCAGAAAAAAGGTGGACCTGGGAGTTCGAATCTCTTCGTCGGCGAGAGGTCAAGGACAAACGGGATTTCTGGCTACCGGCAACTGAAACGCTTCTGACTCTGCTCAGCGGGACGACCGCCACCGGCTAATCGCCAAATCGACGATCATCGCTGTCGGCAAGTGCACAGTCGACGCGAGGGTCACCGTGGCATTGTGAGGCGCGTCGTCAGGGCTGCGTGAGTACAAGAGTTCAGTTCGTAGAACTGAAAGCGTCGCAAGCGTTCAAAATCAAACTTCGTTTTGTTGCCTTTAGACGTTAATTGTACAAGTAAGTCGTGTATTACTGTCCCAAAACAATCTTTACAACAAAATTAGAAAGCTATCGAATAATACAACAAATCGTTAAATCTCGCTTTCTAAAAACTATGTATATCGCTGGATCGCAAATCGATTACCAAAACATCAAATAATTCAATTTTAGCAAGCAACAAAAGTAAGAAAACCGAAAACAAGTGTGGTGTATGATTATATCGGAATGTTTTGAAAGTCGACCTTCGCTGCGTTACTCACTCGTTTCGTTGGAGCGAAGCGTTTGTTTTGTTCAGGCGTCTTGTGCTGTTATTTCGTTCGCTCAAACCTGTGGATTATTGTCGCGTTAATCGGAAAATTGGCTTTGTATTAAATACCAGTAGAGAATCGACCTTGTTGCGGAGCTCTTTCACGGGCAAACAATAGTGTCGTGTATTTTTCTTCGGGGAGAATCGCGATGGCGGACGATCGTATTACCCAGCTAGAAGCGCAAATTCAGAGAATTACGGCACAGATGCGAGATAATGCAAATAAAACTTCCAATCCCGACCAAAACCCCCAAAAAATCACAGCTATGTATAAACAACCAAAAACAAAAAAATTCACAAAACAACAAACAACCAAAAAACAAAAAAACAAAAAAAACAAAAAGAAAGAAAACACAAAGCCACAACAAAACAAAACAAAACAAAAAACGACAAAAAATCGGTTGCGCCAGTTGCCGATTGTATTGTTAAAACCTGCGCACTTTGCACTCAAGAATTCGCAGTGGCAACCGTTGCCGGACAAAATTAAGGTACCGAACCTACCCCCAACTATACGCCATGTACTCAAAACTTATTCGGGAAAAAAACCTGCAATTAGTCAAAATAAAAAAGTGACTTTTAGCGTGGTGAGTGCAGATGGCTAGCGAACTTATGTAAACAGTTGTACATATGCGTGCGTAATGATTGTATTGTGATTAGGTTTCAAAGCAAAAAATCAACATCCATATGTAAATATCGTCTCTGTCAGGCGTCATCCAAATTAACAGTGTTGAGCAATCTTGATTAACCCGTATAAGCGTTTAAGCGTTTCAAAAAAGAATTTATTGATTTTTTTACTGGATTACCGGATGGTCGCCTCGGCAGGGACGATTTGCTAGTTAAATGTAAGCGGCCGAGCGAGCTGAAAGTT